CTGATCCGTGTCGATCAAAATAAACAATTCTATTGGCTTTAGGTCACGTGATGGACACGGCTTTAGACGACCCCTAATTTGGTATATCCCCTGACTGTTATAAGGTTACACTGCAAAATTATAAATGTTACACAAGCAAAAGTTTAATTTTGAAACTTTGTTACGTCACAATACACAAATAAGAATTTTTTTAAACTCCCACTTATTTCCGAAATGCGCTATTTTTTAAAAAAAATCGAAACATGTATAGTAAATTTCCTTATTTAAAATTCTCCAGATAGGGGCAAAAGATGTGGAATGGGCAGATCATCATACTACGGGAAATTCGCAAAGATTTCCAAGATTTCCAAAGTTTTCAAGACCCGCTCCAATCGGTTCCTTAATTTTTACTAATTGGAATTTACATTTTGGTCTAGATCCCAAAATAATTACCCATATGGGTATATGGAAATCGTTTTCCACATCTTTTTGAAAACAGCTGTAAGCAGTTTTTTACGATTGGATAAGTTGAAACAACTTAGTGAAGTTTCTTTTTGTATTTTAAAATTCTCTGATCTCTTGATTTGTAATAAAAATTTTTACACTATTGCTTGTTTACATAATCCGATTTTTATAATTATCTTTTTATTTATTGTTATATAGTTTTAATTAACCCTTTTTTAAAACTTTCCACATCATGCCCGATCGTTGTAATCTGCAGATAATACTGTTATTGGACGCTGCGCACCAATAACTGTCGTATCTGGGACAGAATTTGACCGGTCAAATTCTGGTCCAGATGGTTTATTTTTTTGCAAAAAATATACGTAAGGGTAGCTATTATGATCTGTATATGTTTAAATCCAGATTTATGGGCCGAGGATAAACTAGCCTAGCTTTAGATCCCTGTAATAATTCATGTAACCCATTGTAAAAAATGTAAAGCATAACTATTCAATAAAGACCGAGGCCAAGCCTCACTCTTAAAAAAAAATCCAGATTCTAACTATTCGAATTGTAATCATCAACTGTTTTAAATCGGGGAAAAAATTGGTTTACCATCTCTAAGTGCAAGTATTTTTACATAATTCAAAAAATACTTTTGAATTAAGATTTTATTGATTAATACTTTTATTAAAAGAATTAATAAATACAAAACACGCATTTCAAATTTCAGGAAATTTTTATAAACATATTTATTTTAATTAAATTAAATATAAAAAATTTACATATAAAATTTAAGCATGTCTGCTATTTAATCAATAAATACCGAATTAAAAAAAAACTTCTATGCCTGATATATAAATTTATTTTTTTTCTGTTGAATCAGGTTTTTCGTCATATTCTTCATCAAATATCGGATCTGACATCTCTTGTGTATACCACATATCTCCATAAAGACTACCTTCTTTTTGTAGAAGGTCATCATGAGTACCATGTTCGACAATAACACCATCACGTAGTACAAAAATTTCGTCTATTTTTTTTTTTTTTATAAGAAAGCATTAATTCATATGTTGAGAATAAAATCAATAAAATAAATTAAGGCAATAAAAATACTAATGATCTACATGCCTGCATCTGAAATAGTCTTTAACCTATGTGCAACAAACATGCTTGTTTTGCTCTTTTCCTGAAGTATGCTTCTTATGTTAGTAAGTAATGACTGTTCAGTATGAGTATCTAACGCCGAAGTTGCTTCATCAAAAAAGAGTATTGGGGGGTCTTTTAAAATTGTTCTTGCTAAGGCTACGCGTTGTTTTTCACCTCCTGAAAGCATGAAACCACGTTCACCGACACGAGTATTATATTTATCGGGTAATGATTGGATTACATCGTGAATTTGAGCCCTTTTTGCAGCATTTTCTACATCACTGGAAGCGGCATCAATTTTTCCATATAATATATTATGATAAATGGAGTTGTTAAAAAGAGCGGTGTCCTATTAACACATTGGCCAGTTAGATAAATTTAGTTAGGATTCACAAATGTTCAAAATTTTGTCATTTAATGTTTATGGCGCCTAAGCTGGAATTTGCTTATGCTGGGATTTTAACCTATTTTAATAAACAACTTTGTAATCTTATTAATGAAAGAGTATATGTGAATTTTGGTAGTTATATATAATATAGATTTAAAGGGAAGGTCCCAAATCCCAGTATAAGTAAATCGCATAAACTGCAACAATATTTATTACCTGCGGAACCACGCCAATGCTCTTTCTTAAACTTTCCAAAGTGACCTTTTTAATGTCTTGCCCATCAATATATATATTTCCAGATTGGGGATCATAAAATCGAAATAGTAATCGTAGTATGGTCGATTTTCTAAATATAAAAAAGTTTTTTGATGAAAACAAATTTTGAGCAAATAATCAAATATGGTAATGAAATTATTTATTTCATAGATTTACCCGCATCCACTTGGTCCTACAATTGCTACCTTTTTTCCTCTTGGAACAATAAAACTAACACCATTCAAAATAGGACGTTCAGGATGATATCCAAAAATTACATTTTCAAATCTGATTTCACCTCCTTGGACAATGAGCGGTTTCACGTCAGGCGTGTCCTGAATTGTAAAAACAATTAATTTTCAAGTTGCATATAAAATATGTAAAATGTATGTAATGATAATTTAATGGGATTTTCAATACCTTGATAGTGATGTTCATGGATTTTAAATTAAACATAACGTCCATATCAATCAAGCTTTGTCGTAATTCCCTGTAAACTGAACCAAGGAAGTTCAAAGGCAATGATAGTTGAAATACAAGTTGATTAATCATCACCAGATCACCAACAGTTAGTGTTCCTATAAACATTAAGAATGAATTAAATAAAGAGCAAAAAAAATTATATATTAAAATCTAAAAAATTAAAAAGAATTTTAATACCTTGAACAATCCCTTGAGCAGCCAAAGCCATCATAGCTGTTAAGGCAGTACTAAAAATGAAATTTTGACCAGAATTCAAAAGGGCCAAAGAAGTTGCTATTTTGAGAGAGGCTTTTTCATATTTAGTTAAGGCCTTATCATATTGTTCAGTTTCAAATCTTTCATTATTAAAGTATTTAACAGCTTCAAAATTTAATAAAGAGTCCACTGCCACTGTCGCAGCCTCATTATCAGCTTGATTTGCCTCTTTACGAAATTTGGTACTATTTATGTCATCGTTAATTTAATTGTCAACATATATATATTAATAAGATGTAAGTTTAATTATAAAGTTTACCGCCATGAAGTTGTCTTTATTGTAAATGCAGCGTATGTTGCCATCGTCATTATGGTTACAGTTGCGAAATTTGTACCATAATTTTTGATCTAGAAATTGCAAACGATCATTGTATTATAATTAATTATAAAAAAATTTCATTATAATTAATAAAGAAATGGCCCTCCGGAACTACATGGATTTTATAAAGATTAAATTTCTATCTGTCCAATAATCCGATCTAACCTTTTTTTTATTTTTATTTTGTAGAGCTTACCGAGCTCCACAAAATAAATAACCAAATTTAAATAACTTACAGTTTCAAAGGGTCATTTTCTTAGCAGAGAAGATTTCAGACATTAAAAATCATATCCTACCAAAATACCGCAAACTATCGCGATTTCCAAGGCTGTCGGCAGCACGTGGAATACAAGAGAAGAAAGCAAAAAACTGATACCTCTAATTTAGATATTCAAATACCAAACGTTACTAAATGAGTGATGGAGCATCGAATTTCACAAGATTGTTGTAATATAACTCCATAAAAGTCTAATTTGTATACTCTGGATATATCCCTAATTCATTTCAATAACCATGATACCTGCGTGGGAGATACACTGTATGGAAACAAATATGTTTCACTATATCTACTTGCATGATACATATGTAATATAACATGCTTAGGCAGCCGCATATAAATCACCAACTCATACACAAATCAGACTTCTATGGAAATTATATTGTTGGATATTTACTTAGTTCCACGATCAATAGCTCTACTCAAACCACCGGTCTGACGTTTGAGATGGAAATCCAAATCTAGTTGATGTAAGTGATAAAAAACATTCTTGGCAACTTTTCGAATAGCTTTTTGCGCTACATTAGCGAATATTGCATTACGAAGTTCAGAGAATAAGGTTGCACCAATACGTGCAAGACCATCTGAAATATAGAAAAGTCAAGAATTGATTAGAAATTGAGTCTTTTTTTTAATAAAAAAAAAATTAATGTTACATACACCCAGCGATCATAGCACCAATTACAGTTAATGCAGTTCCAATCTGAGCCGTATCTACATTTAAAGAATCAACTATATATTTGAAAAAGAATGGAACTTGGACGTTGAGAATCTTTATAAATGAAAATTTGATATTTAAATTAATGAAGTCGATTGAAGATGACATAAATAACGAAACACAATTACCTTTCCTCCAACCAAGAAAGTTAATGCAACAATAACACGAATCTTTATAGATAAATCATCTTTGGGCCATATATATCCAATTAAATGTTTTACTATATGCCAATCTGTATTTTGGGAAGATTTTATCTTAGATTCAAGACTGGTTGACTGTTTAGACACCGAATTTAAATTATTTTTAGCACTAGTTGATGTATAGGTTTTAGGTAAAACTATTTTATTTAATGACAAAAGTCGAAACCTAAAACCAGCAAAAGACGAAGAATGAAGCCCCTGACGAAATGATGAAATCCTGGAGAGAGGAGAAACCCCTGACGAAATGACGAAATCCTGGCGAAAGACAGAGCTTTTGGAGAAATGATGAAACTCCCGATGAAAGATGAAATTCCTAGTGAAATATGAAACATCAGAAACCCTAGTAAAAGATGAGGCCCTAAGAAAATTAAGGGGCTGAGTTGTAGTTGTTAGAAGAAACCATTTTTTCATGTTGAAAAGTCAATAGAATCTGGAATGGATCTTCGATGCGTAGGCTGCGTAGAATTTCCCTATATATAGTAAGACCTGCTTTCATCTTGTGATGCTATCCTTATCCGCCGATCATGTACGTACTGATATCTTTTTGTGAGGTTGTACGTACGTACGTACCTTTTGTCGTTATAGGATGGATGTGGCGAACGAACTTTGCGTAATAAACTATATCGATATCATAACTTACTGCATAAGCTAGTAACTGGTTTATCCTCTAGCATTAAAATATTCACTGGCAAAAATAATATGATGCTAAAAGCCTTAACATCGTAATTTGCTTCAATTTTTTACTCAGCATGGAGAAAGTCGAATAGGTAATTGTAACTTTTTTTTTATGTCAGCAATTATCGAGTTAAGGCTTCCGGCACTAAATAATGTTTTGCTTTCATAGGAAGAAGTTCGTCTGATTGGCTGATGTAAATCAATTGCCCGGGTAACTTATTTATATGTTTTAAAGTAC